CTAAATCTCTAAAAATAAACGTCTTATAATTTTATTATAAGATGTTTTTCGAATTCAGATCCTCAACTGGTTTAAAATATTTTAGGTGAGAAGTGAAATCACAAACTTTAGTGGTTACAGCTTCCAAACTTCCATCATTCAGATCGTGATTTAATAACTGAAAGTTTGTATGAATTGATAAATTGGGAGTGTTACAGCAAGTTGAGCAGTGAGACTGAAGAGAATGGAGGTGAGAAGATGAAATGCAGTTGCTGGCGAATTAGGACGTGCAGTCATTTTGGGGAAGGGCAAGATGGTATGGAGGCGGGTTGATAAAGCACTCGGGGGCAGCGTTATGATTGAGTGTTGGTTTAGTAGTGTTTGAATGGCGATGGGGTGATAAAGTGGGCTGGGTGTTGGTGCTGTTGAGCGGCGGTGTAATGTTATAGTGATGGGATTGGGCTGTGGTGTAATGTCGCAGGGTTGAGTAACGGTGAAGTAATGTGGTGGTGGAATGAAAGAGCAACAGTGAGGGATGGGAGTGGGGAGGAATTAAGATGTATCATGATGTGACGGGGACGCGACCTACTGGACTGGGTTACACAATATTGCTGTGGCGTGATAGCTGCAGGGCAAGGTAGATTGGTGGCAAGATAGCGGCGTGGGGGCATAGCGACATGGCGTAGCAGCAGAGTGAAAATATAGAAGTGGGGTGTAGCGTCCGGGTGAGTAGCGTTGGGGTGAGGTAGCGTTTAAGTGACTTAGCGGTGGGGAGAAGTAGCGTTTAAGTGAGTTAGCGACGGAGAGAGGTAGCGGCGGGTAGAGGTAGTAGCTGGGAGATGTAGCATCGGGGTGCGGTAGCTGCGTTGTGAGATGGCAGCGTGGCGGGGTAGCATCATGGCGGGGAGATGTAGTGGTGGGGCGATGCGGGCGGGGCGGCGCCCCAGCGCGCGGGCAGCGCAGTGGGGACGACGGAGCCCTCGGGAGACGGCTGGCAGGAGGACCTCAGAGAGAGTTAATTTGTTTTAATGGAATCAAAAGGAAGCGAAAGGAGAAATTAACATATCAACAGCCAGGCGCTGCGCTCAAACAGTCCCCTCGTCGACCGCGCGACGCGAATTTCCATATTAATGCTCGGGGCCTCCGCCGGCGGCTTCGGGACGGACTCCCGGCGGCCTCAGGGACGGGACAGCGGTGGGGACAGCAGAAGGGGTTGCGGTGGAGACTGCAGTTGGAGCCGCGGCGACGACAGTGGTGAGGACAGCGGTGGGGACAGTGGCGGGGACAGTGGTGGAGACAGTAGTGGAGGCTGTGGCGAGGGCTCTGGTGGTAGTAGCGGCGAGGACAGCGGTGTTGACAACGACGGGAACAGCGGTGGAGACAGCAGTAGGAGCACCCGCGAGGACAGCGGTGGGGACAGCGGTGTGGTCAGCAGTGGGGAATTTGTTGAGGGCACCCGCGAGGACAGCGATGGGGATAACGGCGGGGCAGCGGTGAGGTCAGCAGTGGGGAATGCAGTGGAAGCAGCCGCGAGGACAGCGGTGGGGACAGCGGCGAGTACAGCAGTGGAAGTTGCGATGGGAACAGCGGCGGGGACAGCAGTGGGGGATGCGGTGAGAGCAGCCGCGGAGACAGTGGCGGGGACGATAGACGGTTCGTCGGCAGGGTAGAGGGGAAGGCTGTTGAAGGCTGAGAAGGCAATCGTGACGTTTGGAGAAACTAAGTGCGGAGGTTGGTGCGGCTGTGTCACAACGTGGTTAAACGGCCCCCTCGCCGAAGTAGAGGGAACGACGGCGCCGCGAACAGTGGAGCGGGGGGGGGTGAAGAGTCGACCGAAGCAGCGTTGGAGGGATGAGCAGAGATCACGTATCTGAGTGGGTGAGGTCGGCGGCGTCGGAGTCGGGTGGGGGTGGGGATGGGGAATCAGCAGAGACGGTGCCGGGCTGTGTGGGCCAGTTGAAGAAGCTATGGTTGACTGAAGGTGGGGATTCCTGTGTGTGAAGAAGGGGTTATTGATTCTAAAAAACAGTGATTTTTTTGTAAAGATAAAAGTCGGGGTTTCGAAGGTGTGAGGGTATGGTAGGACTGAGTATGGAGCTACGGAGGTGGTGTCGATAAGAGAAGTAAATGTAGAGTGCCGATGGGGCCGAGGGAGTTCGACGAGGGACAGCCAAGTCTCACGGATGTGGGTGTAGGGTTGTAGTGGAGCCTTACGGGTTATCGCGTACCGGATGGCTCTTGAGTCGGCAGAGCTTGGCTGGTGCGTTTAGCAGGAGCCACGCACTGCGTGCTGTGGGGTGGGGGGAAGGCGGAGGAGTGGTAAAGGGCGCAGTGGTTTAAAGAGACATTACAGAGCTGAAGGGAAGTTGCCGGATACAGTGGTGGTTGTAGGAGTCTGCGGGAATCTACGTACGAAATGGGGGACCTGACGGCGGCCGGGAATGTCTAGTGGCAAGGTGGCATGAGAAGGATAACGGTAGCAATGGAATGATGAAAGGAGAAGGATTTTTCTAAAAAAGATGCGGCGGGTCCTTGGATTAGAATGATGTACAAATAAGGTCTATAAGCTTTTTAGGGCTTACATAAAACTTATAAAGAGAAGGTTTTCCAGTTCAGTTGGAAAATAGTTTAGTGAACTTATCACATCTAAAACAATGTCCGTAGCGTGATAAACACGTTACGTGATCCAGCGTCGTGAAAAGAAGAGTAAGGCACATTTCTTGCTATAGACATGGCGGCCAACATCACGTACAGCTGTTGAACACGCTATGTGTTTTACTGAGGCGCACATAGTTACCAGAACTTACCTTGAAATAATTTTCTTTCTACACGAAGCCACGAGAGGATTTCTGGACGAAAGAATTTTACCGACAAAAATGAAGAGGAATGAATAAATGGGTTTGAAACTTGACGTAATATTACAGTGTTGACTTAGTAAAAAGAACTTCACGTTTTGCTCAACAGCGAGTTTCAATAGGTTAATGAGTAATCTGAGACATTAATAAAAGTTATTCCAGTTATTTCTGCAAGTGAAGTGAATTTGACCTGCATCGAACTACAATTAAATAAGCTTTTTAGATAAGAAGTGACGTGGTATAGTTCATTTGTCGACGGCAATAATTGGATTCACTAACGCTTAGGGTTATTATAAATTTAAACGTTAAAAATACAATCATTATTTTAATTTTGTTAGATTGGGGGCACAATGAGGATTTTTAACAATGTTCTACATGAAAAGCAAACTTCAAGATATTTCTTGATTTAAATAAGTAACTTATTTATTTATTTTTAACTCTCGCGTACAATGTTTCTATTTAAGTGCATTGTAGTGTAATATTACATTCGAACTATTATTCTTCAATTAGATAGTTCCGTTTGTCATACATTAACTATCTAATCATTATAATGAACCAGAATATGTAGATCTTATAAAGTAAATTTTAATGTTATACAAAACTCGACGTATGTTTCTGTTTTTTCCATCATGAATATCGAGCTGTAGATTCATTTAATATTTTTTCACTGATTATTTTTTGCTATAAAAATTCACGCTTCAAAGAATTTTCAAAGCATTTAACTTTTTACAAGATTTTATGAAATGCAACGCGCATGAATGAAGAGAAGAACTGAATAAATTATTCAAGAACAGACTTTGAAAAGACTGTCAGATGGTATCGCGACGGAAGACAGAGCCCAGGTTGCCAAAGAAAGAGGAGGAAGTGAATTGAGTTATAGCCTTATTTTACGTGGCGACATGGAGACTATGAGGCCTACCCTTTCGCCTGACCACGCACTTTTTCTATGCTCCTTTCACCAACTAGCGGAGAAAGGTGGTATTTCTTGTGCGACGACACAAGTGATTTGATTTTATCTCAGGAGCTTCATTTAGCTTGAATTTTTCCATGCAATAAATATAATAACATGGGAAGCGGACTTTACTTACCCTCTGAAGGAAGGCGTGCGAAGGATTTTTTTTCGCCCTTAACAATTCAATACTTCGATCGAATTTGAACCCTCACATTGCGTATAAAAGTCCAATACACTAACCGTTACACCATCGCCGCCGCAATGGAAGTAATGCAGAATATGTTAACGCTTCCTATAAGCCAGACCTCCCCATCAAGCAGTGTTCAAGATATCGTGGTCCGGCCGGATTATCGCCAACATAATTAGTGAGTTCAAAACAAGATAGAAATATTGTTTATTAAAAGACTCAGACAAACGCGTCGCTTTGAACGGTCGGTTGCGCCCCCTGCAAGCCCATTCTTTCTAGAGCTGACCTGACGTATTCCTTCCCCAGACAGCAATTCGTGGGCCCGTACTTGTCCTTAGCCGTGGCTCCAGGGGGAAGCTTTGGGCAGGCCTTCAGTAACTCTGATGAAAGCAGCAAGAGGTGACCTTGACACCTTTCGAAACATTTTTATTATTCAAGTGTGATGATAATGCTGATTCTCATTACTGTTATTACACGAAGTAGGACACTTAGGTATTTATGGACACCCTTTTGTGGGTGAGAGACTAAGCTGATGGCTTACAGTTGCCTTCCATTGTGATCCTTCTCTAATAGGTAGTTAACCTTGATTTTGCCAATACCGCAATGCCGGCGCAATATCTTAACAACGGAACTCGGACGGCTCGCGATCTTTTTTTCTCATTTCCATCCCTTCTTCCGACACACAGACCTACGGTCACATACATGTCACCACTCACATGTCGGAAGATCAGCCAGCAGTTAGAGCGCGATTCTGTTGGCGCGATGGTCCATTCTGGAAGATACATAGAAGACTAAACCCCGTGATTCGACGAGTAGTACCTAATCTTGCATTCCAACGGGCGATACATACTACATCTTCTAAGATATAACATGAACTTCACTAACGGGACTAATGATCATAGTAGTTGACGCGCCTGGAAGCACTAAATAATAAATCAAATCTGCTGCACATTCTTGCGAAAAGGACGCTTTTGCAACAGACGTCGGAGGATTCGTGCGTATCTGAGAATCGCCGCGTCATTGACGGATGGGAACATTTCCATCGTCATACAGCGACACATTCGACGCTACAATCGCCTGCTCGGACGGCAGGCGTTCTCGGCCCAAACACCGCACCTCGCAGAAGGCCATCACAACTCTTCCGGGCCGCGGCAACCCGGGTTATCGACGTCCCCTCCCGCTCGGCCTCCGGCCCTGCGGGGAGGTAACCCGAGAATCCATTAGCGAGGTCACCGCGGCGCGGTGCGACACAGGGTGGTGGGACGCGCGTCGCCGCGTCTCACGTTTCGGAAGCACCTGCTGCGGCAGGCGGCGGTGGCGGCGAGAACCGGGGCTGCGTGAGAGCGGTGTGGGCGGCGGGGACGCCAAAGGTCGTGACGCAGGTAGAGGCGGCGGGCGAGGTGAGGCAACGGGACAGTGAGGGCAGGTGCGGAGTCTGGGGAAGTGGGTAGGGGGGGGGTCCGGAGCAAACGGTGGTGGTATGGAGCGTGGACGCGGCAGGGAAAATGAGAGTGCGTGAGAGCGTGAGAGTGGCAGTAACGGAGATGCGACGAAGGTGAGATGTGTGATCAAGAGGACTGAAGGTTGAAGCTTCGGAAGTTGCGGCGGTGGCGCGGTCATCCCAAGGATACCGCAAATTTAGGACGTTGGCGCCTGAAGCAACCAAGAAATCACACGTGACAGGGTCAGCGAGTTGCGCACAGTGACGGAGTGTTGAGGCGGTGGGGATACAGGAAGTGTTGGAGGCGGCG